ATGCAGCTAACAAAAGTGAGTAATTTAACGAGAGTTATTTAATCTTTTGTTGAATGTGGGAGATCAGTGCATCACTTCCGATATTTTAAGAATGTAAACAGGCTGGACATGCTGAACAAGTTAACCGCATCATGGACCGTTGATATATTGGCCTACGTGCGTAACGCCTAGGCGCATGCTGCCATATGGCATTACTAGTCTTGGGCTCGTCATCCGCATTTACAGTGCACCAGTTCATACAAACATGATAAATGATCAAAAGTGCATTAGCCTAAATAATTAACTTAAAAGTATGGAATCAAAGCAGAATTACTAGCGATATGGTAAGCCCATCCTAGGCTATTTTATGAAATAATGTTCTGCCTAATTTTTTAACGGATTTTACTTTAATGGTAATGGTTCCATATATGGACACTAAATTTCCCTTGCAGTGGTCTACTACTACTAGCAATCAAAAAGTGTTAACATGTTCCATAAAGCTAAATTTAGGGGGCCGGTAAACTTCAGGACCCTCCTGTTTTTTTGTTACTTTTACTGACAAATGTGGGCCCTGAAAAAGTGTGTTATTCGGGTAATGTCTCATGTTAACTGTCGTGACCATATTTGTGTTACATTTGGAAGATTCAATCAGGAGAAAAAATGCAACTTTCTTACCTTTGTCTGTCAACATAAATGCAAGGTCAACTGGACACACAAACATGGTAGACTATGTGACCTTTGGCAATGTGCGGCTGTTCTCTTCAAAGTTCAATACTCTTGGCTCCCTAATCTGCCTTTCCCATATTTCTAACCAATCAGAGATCCACTCTCTAAGGAAACTTTCCAGCAATCAATCAGAGACACTCCACCAAGTGCATTTTACAATATCACTATGTAGACATATGCATGCATGGACTAGCTGTTATTTTCAATACTCTTACTTACCAATTGGCTCATCTTAACCAATCAGAGATTGGCTTTCTAATGAAACTTTTCTGTTACCAATCAGAACGAATCTACCAAGCATGTTTTGACATTACCACCAGTTTATTTTTAGCGGATGCTTGCATGTACCGCCTGTGTCTTTGTCGTCATTTTTACCCCATAATTACCCTCAAAAAAACCCTTCCCTCTGTTTAAAAAATTAACCCAGGAGTTTGACAAAATGATGTCATTGTTATCTGGTTAGGTGAGTCTGACAGCTTAAATATAATTCTTCCTTGTATATAGGAAAGGGGTCCAGAAGTCCACAAATGCCAAATTTAGAGGGGAAAAAATATTGAACAGTGTTGAAGCATTTATTTAGAAAACATCATTTTTCAGGCCAGTCCCATAGGTTTGTGCACAGGGCGTCGAGTGATGTCCATGTATGGAACTCTTTCCACTTCAACACTTGTGCTACAATATGTTGAGACAATTGAATGTTATCGAGGAAGGTTGGCCATTGTCCAAGATTTTGCTGTTCCTGACTGACTTTGGTTGGAATGTCAAATTAAAAGTCTTTCCCCACTGAGATCACAAACCTTCTTTCAGAGGTGTGAATCATTTCTCCTCAGAGTTGGTATTTGCAGACTCGCCCCTATATCATATATGCACTAGACATTCAGAAAACATGACATTATGGTTGTAAGACTAAAACTTACACGCGGAACAGACTTTCATTCAATATTGAAAAGTACAGGTATTTAGGGTCCAACTCCCCGACTTTAGTTCACGTCTTTCGACATAGGAATGTATGTGTGATGTCACTGACATGACAGATTTTCATTTGGAAGGTGAAATTTGCCTTTTGCTAGCAGTTATACTGAATGGTATTTTGTCTAGCACATGTGCAGTAACTGTTTTTTTTTCTGGACTTAAACATTCGTACCATGACAAATCTTCGTCTGGTTCTACTCCAACATACATGTAGTTGTTGCGACTTCATAGTCATGAGGTGGGAATCAGACCATTTTACAATTTCAGACTTTCTTCTCTTTAAAAAAATCTCCCAGAGCCATGAATCAAAAAAAGAAATTGCTAAACTCTGTGGATTCAATTTAAAATCAACAAAAGAAGAATGTTCATTCTTTATTGGGACAAAAAAACAAGGGACGATTGCTAGGAATCAGATTCAGCTGAAGCGTGTCTTGTGATCTCAAGAAGTCCATGCTATCCACTAGATCACAGAACCTACTTGAATCTGGAAGTAATTTAGTAACTTTTATAGGCTGACTCAAGTATACTTGTCAAAGAGGGCTCTGTCCACTCATAGCCAGCTAAATCATGTAAATACCGTGTAGATAAGTTTTGCCAGTGTGGGTTAAATATACACTTCACATCTTTTCATTTCAAGCGTGGTTGGTGTTTTGTATGATGTATACTGACAGGTAGCTGTTATCAAGCCAAAATAATGCAACATGTTTTCGTGATCACATCCATTAGTATGTTGGTCCCAAAACCACCTTCACCAGCTTACACATTCAAGGAAAATTGTTGGCCCTATTTTTATTTTTAATGTCTTGTGTTTTTTAAGTTTTGAAGGAGTCGCGAAATGACGAGACGGCATTTCACTGCAAAGTTGTGTGCCTGATTCAGCTGTCCCAGTTCCAGCATGCAATTAAAGAAATTGCAAACAACCCTGCGTTGGCAAGGTAACAGATGTTGTCTGAACGGTCCTTTTGATCAAATATATCATTAGTGAAAGATTTTGAAGCATTAAGTGTGCACAGCAAAAAATATGTCCGTCTGAGTTTGAAGAATTCTTTGAGTATTTTTTGTACTTACTTTTTGTATTTACGGATGCTCAGGCATGCATTTTGCAAAAGGTTTACTGGCAAACATCTGCATTGCTCCGAAAATTCACTTTTGGAAGATTTTGGAGGATTGAGGTTATCTGAGGGATGCCAGTTTTCAGTCAAATGAAACTGTTGGGCTAACTTCAGCCCCAAAGAAGTTATATTGAGATTGCTCTGGCCAGATTTTCCGTCTTTGGATAAGAACCTGACTGACAACCCTGCTAGAGAGAGTTTGTAGTCGCTCTCAATCAAAACCCAAGGGAGTTAGATTTAATATCTAAATTCAAATTTGTGATGTCATTTTTCCATACTTACCAAATTTACTTCCAGCAAAAGACATGCCAATGTGTAAGGTGTTACATATGTTTGTAAACAAATAAAGGAAATGTATGCATTCAAATTTTGCAAGTCACAAAGTAAAACAACAGCAATGAACTCTAACACTCAAACCAGCCAGCTGACCCCAGCAAGCTCTGGTGGCTGCGTGGTAAAACACCAGCACATGTAAGCAGGAAGGTGTGGGTCCAAGTCCCACCCGAGCAAGCCTGTGAATTTCTTTTCACAAGTTCTCAGGCAACACTGGGTATACAAGTTTCATAAATATACACCAGCAAATGTCAAAACTCCCTTTGCACCCGAAGGTGTTTGGTGCTCACTACTTTGCTTCTATTTCTGACATTTATTTCTGATGTACTGTCCCTCCCAACTTTTAAAGTGGACTGATGTTTGAGAAGGCATACTGTCAGTATCGGCTGAACAGAATACAGGATGCACTGACAACAATCAAAGGTGTTAGCAACCCCAGCCCCAAACTCAAGGAACTCAAGGGCCAAGTGGTGAGTGAGATAACGGGTTAAGTCTGTGGTCATATCACATGCACCTACATGTCCACGTATAGAACCTGCTGGCTCATAACGAAAACTTGACTCATAGGCTGGCTGGCATATGACCAGCCAAACCCAAGCCTTTCCTCAAACAGCCACACTGTGTGAATACACAGAGGTGCAAGATTGTTGGCGTTGTCTAATCATACAACGTTACAATGCATGATACAGTGAATTTCTAATAAATCCTACAAGTGTGAGTCGAGTCCACTTTACTCATGTTGTCCTTCATAGTGCCAGAACAGCCAATGGTATAGTTAATATTAATACGAGGAAGAACTTTACACATTCTGAATGTATCTACGTATAAGAGCGACTGTTAAAACAATATTGAGTAATAAAACACGACTAGACTGTAACAAAAGTGCCTTAAACCCACATATATGTGAATCCATGTGGACATGTTTTGCCAAAGAGATAAATAGGAAATAAGGTATGCCAGGATTTACTAGGCATTGCAGGTGAATACTAGAATGTACAATACATAACGTTGGCACTTATGAATGCATGTACACCATCTGGCCCAAGAAATAGACCACGTTTAATCTGTGTACAGTATCTTGTACAACCTACGTGTATCTTTCAGGGAATTCCCATTGGTTTTGTAGTTTGTCTCTTTCTGCCCAAACTTTCAAGAGGGGTGAGTGCAGAGCCAACATGTTGCAGAGTATCCTGCATTCCCAGTGTATTGCACATTGAAAGTCACATTTGCAGTCGGAGATTGTAGCCCTGCGGTAATGCAAATATATAATTCACCGTTTGTTTCTTCCCTTTTCCTTTAGTTGTACCGGCTAGAACAGTACAAGGAGTGTCTTGACGTCTACAAAGACTTGATTAAAAATACATCAGTAAGTGCCGAGACTTCTCTAAGTCCTAACAGTCCCCAATCTTTCAACCGTTTGAAGGTTGTGAGGACTATTAGGGTTAGTCCTAAGTGTCCAAGACACTAGACAGCTTACCTCTGGAGGAGTATGCAGTAGTAAGGAAAGGAGAGCCCAGCTATGCTTTGTGCTAAACTTTGGTCCCCGTTGAAAGTTGAAGTAAAAGAAACAGGCAGTAGCCCAATGTGCTGATGATGTATCACGGTGTTTACCGCAGTGCATGATGGGATAGAATTGGGGTCATCGTATGCCACGAGAAGGGAAAATAGCGCACCTACAAGTTATATCCGATAACAAGAAAGTGAAAGGTGCAATCTTACTGATTTCAGTTGTGGAAGATAATTCTTCGGAAGACTTAAAATACTGATAACACAAAATGACTACTTTTTGGACGCAGATGTGGTTGTGCTCGTGTGCTTATGATAGCAGAGTTTACACAGACGCCCCCCCCACTATTCTGTCCTACCAATGCAGTGCAGAAACACAGTGATACGTCATCAGTCATAGGGCTCTTGGTTTCTTGTAGAGCGTGGGATTACCCGGACTTGGAATGGTTCCTCAAAAAGGCATCTCGAGAGATTCTTAGCTTAAAAAAACCCAAGACATAATGAACCAGCTGAAGCTTGAAGTGTCCTTTAGACTATGTGTCCGAGAGGTTGATAGGATTTGTAACATGACTGGTGCAAGAAAACTCTCAGAAAAGCGTAGGCCTGGGTAAAATGCAGATCCCACGTCTTGGTTTGAATTCATTCGTGTGTTAAGTGTTGACCTGTGCACTTTTGATTGCACTTTTTCTTACAACTTTGTTTTCTAATTACAAGGCAGTAACAGAAATTTACTGCGGACACATTCAAGTGACTAATGTGTTGCTGCCATCCTGACAAAATTGTCTCAGGAAAAAAAAACCTTATCAAGTTACAGGAGCCAGAAATGCAGACCCATGCTTTGTTTGAGCGTACTCAGACCATTTGTAGATCCTGATTTTGTTTTCACATCAGACATTTCTGAATTGTTTCCCATTTCTTGCTATTTTGCAGGACGACTACGATGAGGAGAGAGCAACCAACCTGTCGGCAGTCGTGGCTGCTTTGCAACTGTGGGAGCAGCAGTCAGTGGTAATAGAATAATGATGGTAGTCCCTTTGGTCCTACTCAGAGCTGTATATAGAGAGAAGCGCCACCTTCAGACTTTGGAGCCAAAATGGCTGTTCATTATCTGTGCAGTACAGCATGCAGCTATTGTGTGCTAATCGTCCATGTGCACTGATGCATAGTCCACCATTTTGGTTCTGACAACAGACACACTCATGTCGCTACTCTGTAAGCAGCTCTGGTCCCACTCGATGTACACTGTAGTTTTCATGCTCCTTGATTGAGCAGAGTGAATACTTATGTTTCATGTGTTTTGAAATTGCATAGAATCTTGCTGCATCAAGCACAGTTTTTGCCACTGATATGTTCCATGTAAAGAGCGGACGCAGTTTACCGGCCTGTTTCACAGGGATCTGGATCTCGATTAGTGGTTGCAACCCTGGTTCTCTGTATCCATTGACTGGCTCTGATGTTTGAACTGCAATATGATTTGGATTAGTGTGAAAAAAGCAGGCCTTACAAGTCTTCATTTATGTGCTGACAATATGCGCATCCCCAATAAGCCCAGAGAAGGACCTCAAAACTTGCTCATTTGACCCTAAATTTGCTGGCTTAGGTGTACATAGCTTTCCAACTTGATCGAAGTGGCAATATTTGAAGTTTCTTCTTGAATTCTCCAATGCCAGGCTGACCTTGGGTTGAAAGAGGACACGTTTGAGTTGAGCTACAACAAAGCCTGCCTGTTGCTGGGCCAGGCAGAGTATGGGCAGGCACTGGAAGAGCTGGACAGGGCAGAGGAACTGTGCAAAGAGGGCATGGAGGATGAAGCTGTAAGTCCTTAATTAAGATCAAGGGATATGCCCCCACCCCTTGTGGGGTGTACTGGAGTGTACCAAAGCTGAGCTGCAGAGATCTCTGTTGGAGTGAAGGGGACGTCAGTGCACCCATCAAGGGACTGCCTTTTTTAGTTTGTGGCCTAGTCCATGCAACATGTGTGACAAATGATAAGTGATCCTGAAGTTAGCCCTTTGTATGCATTGGCTGCTCCCTCATCTTTTTAAAGAGAAGTGGGAACAGTTATATTTAGTTGTGTTGAGGTTGAATGTTGTTATACGTCACCAGTTATCACTGAAGCAGGTACATGATAATGAATTTATTTTCAAATAAACTTGATGTGCAGTCAAGATAGAATATGCACCCTGTACACACCACAAATATGACACTAAAATGAACCAAATGCGCATGCGTCAAATAACAGTAACAGAGGGACGTCAGTTGTAAGACAATTCAGACGTTTCAGAACTGGTGGAACTTTCGGCAGTCATGCCATCCAGGAAAGAGTTGAAAATTGAAAGTTCAAAGCTTGCCCCATGGGCAGCCTGACCTTTGTCATTTATTGCACTTGCCATCTCTGGACTGGTGCGTTCGTACAGGAAATGACCGCAGAGGAGATTGAGGCAGAGCTGGGGGTGATCCACGTGCAGCGAGCCTACATACTCCAGCTGCAAGGCAGGACAGACGAGGCCATGAAGATTTACAATCAGCTGGTCAAGTCAAGACCCTCTGACATTGGCCTGATGGCGGTTGCTTCCAATAACATCGTCAGTCTGAATAAGGTGAGGCAAAATGTTGAGTATCGAAAAGTGAACTACATCTCAAAGACTTAAGCAATTCAAAGCTAATATTGAGTTTAGATCAACATGCAACATCATTTCTCTTATTATTCTGAATTTGGAAGCGGATCTTAAATACTCCCAACATTCTAAATTTTAACTTCAATCAAGGCAAAACCTTCTAAATCTCATTTTATTATATATACCATTGATCCTTGTTGTAAAGGACCAGAATGTGTTTGACTCCAAGAAGAAGATCAAGGCGACTACAGTAGACGGCCTACAGCACAAACTGACTTCCAGCCAGCAGTCGGCGATTGCTTACAATCGTTGCGTCCTGATGTTGTACACAAACCAGGTCAGACCATTGCTGTGACGTTGTTAATCTTAAACTGCAGATAGGACTTACTGAACTGACGTGGGTAGTTAGTGAGAAAGCCTTACTGTGGGCAAAACTGTGCCGCCCATAAAGCCCAGCTGGTCATGATGCTGGCGTTATCCCCTACGTACCCTACTCGTGAAAGTCCTTGCTGGCTTCCGCTTTTGATTGTATATTTCTGGTAATGAAAGCCTAACATCTATGTCATAATCCACATATTGCTTCATATTGGCACAAAGAAACTTGTAGAGAGAAACATTTCAACAAGAAGTTCAATTGTTAACATTTCAGGAATATCCATGAAAATTTATTTCAGGGAATATGTTGTGGAAGATGACGTAGACTGGAAGCCTGTCTCAGTTGCCTGACCTGACACATTAAAACCTTATTTTCTCCTTTGTTTTCATAAGCTTGCGTCATGTTTGTTACAGCAAACTTTTAGACCTCAAAGTTAATGTAATCTGGCCAGATATACTGTCTGCTTTGGTCAGAAGGCAAAATTATTTGGTGACCATATTTTTTTATTTCATCACAGTACGATCAGTGTAGAAAACAGCTGCAGCAGTTAAGAAATTCATACCCGGACAGCGATATGCCCTGCTTAGTAGAGGCCGCTTTGCTCTGCAGAGAGAAGCAGACTGCCAAGGCGGTGCAGAAAGTCCGGGTAAGATATCAGTGGCTGTTAGGACCAAGACGTCTGTCCAGCAAAATGCAATGCTGCCAGGCCAACTCATCTGTTTTTTACTACGGTTGCAAAGAATCCAATTTCTTAACGTTTTATTAGTTATGATCAGATTTGGGCTCGCTGCTTGTTCTCGTGGTCAACTCACAGGACCAAAAAGGACGCTGTTTTAGACTGTGGTCTTGATACGAAAGATCCACCATCTTGAAATGAAGAGAGCCGTTGGATTTTGTCATAGAGGAGTAATATCACACCTTCAATTTGGCCCTAGTCTCCACTGATTGTCACCTTGTTTCCTCCCAGGATTACATCAAGAGCAAGCGGAGGGTTTCACTGCAGGTCAAACTGACCCTGGCTCAGCTGTATATTATGCAAGGTATGCCTCTGCTTGGATCATAATCACTCAATGTCGCAAGCAAATTCATAACAAAATCAAAGGAGTGGCTCACATTTGGACCACAGTTCAGGAAATTGCTTCACATTAGTAAATTGGGTTGTGTTGGTCTTCCAACGCCCATCTTATCATGAAGTTCATTCTAAAGGCATGTCACGTACATGGTGGATTGGGTGATCTACAGTAATATTTCAGTGAGTTGTGGTCAATTAGTGATCTTTAACTAGTGGCAACTGTTAAAAATACGGGTGGGGGATAATATTAACGGATATTTTGAGATTATGTATTACATCGTACCTCCTATCTTGTTAGTTCTTGGGGTAAGAATGTTTCCTGAATAAACTAGCTGTGATACAGGGTAATTTTAAAATAGCTAACCCTCTTCACATTACATTTCCTCGTTTCCAGGGCAGGTGAGTGAAGCCTGTGAGGTGCTGCTAAAGCTGGAGGCGGACACGTACAAGCCTGGCATCGTATCCAGCCTGGTAGCGCTCTACACCAACCTGGACAATCCGGAGGGCGCTATGCAGGTGCTGGACAAGGCAGTGGAGTGGTACAAGCGAGAAGGGGTGAGGAGTTTTATTGCATGAACATGCAAAAACACACGTCACTACAGGTGTTTGCGTTTACCTTCGAAGAAATCTGGCTGAAATGTTTTTATACATTTGTACAAGTGGCAGTTTAAACCACATTTACAATAAAATACAAATTAACAATTGACATATACACACGGGTGCACTTTCAATCAATTTATGAGGTCTTTCTCCAGGCACTAATTGCCCAGTAGAATCTTTAGGAGTTTTCACGAAAGTGAATTCAGTGCTTAAAGTCACTTTTGCAATTTAATATTCGACTGGATCAAATGTTATGCCGTGTTTGTATCACAGCTGTGTTTTCAGGAGTCTGGTCACCCGCTCCGACTATACCGGGGATGCAACCTGTTGAAAAAATAACCCCAAAACTTGAAACACATCCATTTGAACTGGACCTCTCAGAACTTTACCAAGTATTTAGCTCTGCTACTTACGAGTGGATTTGTACCACTGTATTCAGCATTCACTGGTGGACATATCTAAGCATTAATTTGTGTGCATGCACGTGCTGTTTGCCAGGAGAAGCAGAGCGAGTTGAACACCCTCTTGAGAGAGAATACAAACTTCAAGCTCAAGCACGGCAAGTCGCAAGCCGCCGTCAGCATGCTGGAGGATCTGAGAAAGTTAGTATCTGCTTCTCTAAAGCCTCGTCCTAGAGCTCACTGGGCGCTGCAGTCCAGATGGGCTTTTCTGTAAATTTTTGGGGTCCAATTTTTTCCTGTCCTTGTTTCATTGGCTTGTGTTTTTTGTAAGTTTAGAACACGTTCTTCACTCTCCAAGAGTGATTAAGTAATGCAAATTACCTGCCAAACAAAACATTTAGTTTGAAATCCCTTGTCACAGGTTGGGTGTAACAGGGACACAAAAATGTCGGATGTTGAACCCCAAATCTATAGAATGACCCAAATGCTTATTTCCTGGGCAACCTAACCCTTAATTGACGAATTGGATGCGGTTTATCAGAAAGATTATGCTGAGTGGGGTAGAAAGCAGCACTAACCACACATACATTTCCCAGCCCTTGCAAGTGCATAATACCCAGTGAGCTGACTTGCCTCTTTTGGTACTGCGGTGGGTTCCTAGGTAAAAGCCAACAGCAGGAAATGTTTGTCTACAAGCAGCACGAAATTGGCTTTTCAAAACTCATGACTTGGTCTGCTAAAATTGAAGAATGTGCAAAGACGAGCCGGTCATCTCTGCAATTCTCGTCCACCCTTAATGCTGTGTTTGTATCATTTTCATCCAGGGCTAACCCAGAGGATGTGAGGACCCTTGCACAGCTCATCTCAGCCTACTCCAAATTTGATCCCAAAAGAGCTCAAGAGTATCCTTTTTTGTGACAGATCTTCAATTCAAAAAGCAAAACAGGCCTGTTTTGCTGAGCAAATTTGTTGTTCAAATCTCATCCGGACGCTTCTCAAAATGCTAAACACTGGGTCGTGCGTAGCGGGAATTTTTCCTGACCTCTGACCACAGACTAAGCCGGGAGCTGCCCCCCGTGGCGGCCTTCTCGGGCTCGGTGGACGTGGACGTCCTGGAAACCACGCCCCTCTCCCTGACCTCCCGCCAGATGAAGAAGACGGGGGGGAAGGTGGAGAAGCCAGAGATGGCAGAGAGCAAGATGGACGCTCAGATCGCCAAGAAGAGAAGAAAGCACAGGAAGCGTAAGTTGTGTGACGTTTGCCCTAGCATGAACGAAATAGAAATAAAAAAGGAACAAGGACAACACATTGGTCTTCTTTGTAGTGTCATTTGGAATCAAGAACTCTTATTTTTTCACCGAAAATGTGAAGATGACCAAGGCAATGAATGTGACACGTGGTAGATGATAGCTTTTAAAAAACAACCACGAGCTTCTCCTTTGAAGAAGTGGTTGTTCCCGAGAGCTATCATGTACCTTGGTATCACATAATGCACAGCTTCAAATCATACTAAATGTGCTATGAAGTTTGCTGTTTTTTGGGTTGATCAGCATTATTGTAATCAAGAGAGGAATTTGTTGTTTCCACTGATTGTGGAGAAATTGTCAAACTTTGAAGTGCTGTGATAATGCACATCTCTACATTTCGGTGTGGACTTGTTCGGTGTTGGAATTAAACCCAGTAGAATGCAGGCAAGAATTTAATGCTTTGACTTGTACATGCTTTGACTGCAGGGCATCTCCCGGCCAACTACGACCCCAGCGTGACCCCTGACCCAGAGCGCTGGCTGCCAATGCGAGAGAGGTCCTACTTCAAGGGCAAGAGAAAAACCAAAAAGGGAGCCATCGGCAAAGGCACGCAAGGCGCCACTGCCGGCAGCAGCGAAATGTAAGCAAAACCAAAGCAGTCACATAGGCAGGGGCTAGAGCAGATACATAACTGCAGTACTGATGGGAGCATAATGTAGCAGTAAGCAATACAGCATGGGTGGTGGGGTGAATAGTATCTTGAGGATGTAAGCATTATTGCACTGGAAACTGGAGACACTGCATTAGGATGGTAGCGACTATTGTCTGTATCATTAACCCTAACAATTCTGACTCCTCGTATTTCGATACAATTTAACACACCCTTGGGTGGGAATTAATCAGAGCAAATTATTTGAAAACAGTAACGTAATAAGCCTTTTAAGAGTTAAATTTGAACAAAATCTGGTACTCTGAGTACTTAAATTCATGTGAACCTAACAATTTGAATTCTCCATACTAAAGACGCTGTTGCCATACCTTGTGATTTGAGGGCAAGCTTTTCCTTAGTTACATAAGAGGCGCCTTGCACCAGTGTACAATTATCAATGGATAAGAAGGGTTCAAAGGAACCAGTCCATTCAAGAGATAGTGGTTGCTATGCAAGAGCTTGCCCTGAAACATGAGGTATAGCAACAGTGTCTTTAGCCTGGGGAATTCAAATTGTTATGTTTATGTGCAATCAGATAATTCAGTGTACCAGATTTTAATCAAATGTAACTCACAAAAGACTTATGGTGCTAATCACCACAGGGTTTTAAGATATTGGGTCAACCAGTGATTTTTACAATTTGTGAAAATGTTAGAAGATCCTCAGTAACTTCCAGTTACTTTAACCACTACCAGCTGGGAACTCCGAAATCGGAGCCGCATGGT